TTTTCAGTAGCATGGATTTCAGGACTTCGCAATGGGCGCCTCTCGTCATAAACTCTGTTAAAACGGTGCACAATCCATCATATAAGGCCTACAAGAGTGTCAGCTCCATGTAGGGGTCAATCAAGCATAGGTCAGGGTCATGGTCAGGTCAACCGGGTAGGCACATATCCCCGAAAATCAAAACTGATATTCGTAGCCTGTGACACATGTTTTATGGGTAATTTGGGGCGTAGAACACGATGGTCACATTCATTTTATCATATGTGTACGTGTTTGGCTCAAAAACCTCAATTTAAGAAATGCATATATCATGGTCGTGAGGTAGTCACGATAAATTGCCAAGATTCAGTTCAAGATTTTGGAAAATGCGGAACGATAATCAATAATCGAAGATAGCCATTTGATTGTTCTTGGTATTGGCAGTCTAATGGCGTTTACGGCATGTCTGTATGTCTATTTTGTGATTTTATATGATTTTTTTAACATATGCCGTTTTTGGTCGAAAACTCAGAAATCATGACGTCACTAAAACCTCGATATCTCAAAAATTTTCCGACCGATTTTTTTTTTGAAACTTTGTCACAATAAACTTCAATTAATATATGCTATGGCCCGGCGAAAAAAGTGGGGGCGTTTAACGCCCCCCCCCCCCCCAGCAACTCGCGGGTTAAAGGGACCCTCCCACCTTAACATTAGATTTGAGTTGAGATAGCCAAAATGGGGTCCCTGGCTCACAATTACCGGTTTCGGCACTCACAACATCGAGAAATGCCTTAAATCGGAAATATTGAATTTCAAAATTGCAGCATTTTGATTCAGAGGGGCTAAATCTTAGGAATACCCCTCTGAATGTGTGACGTCAGCGCAGATATCTACCGATTTTTAAATGTTTGACTAAAACGTTTTGTAGCACGCGGTGGTATATGCTGTTTACGCGCAACATCTGCCGCAAACGCCGCACTTCTAAAATAAAGTCGCTAGAAACAGCGGAGATCCCAAAAAAGTAAACAAAAGTAAAAGTCTAATATTTTGAAAACCGGTGAATATTTTTCGGTGAAATTTGGTAGATATTCGTTTTCGCTCTTTCTGAACCGAGCGACATCACTTTCATGCCAATTCATAAACTTTTTTGAAGGTGGGAGGGTCCCTTTAACGAGCTATGATTCGATGAGACTGATTTTTTTTTTGCGTGCATGAGAGAACCAACGAGACGAATTTCGAAGCAACAATGATAAATTAGAATGGATACGGTAGAAGTTGTTGCGTCTCGGACGGCCTTCCTTTTTGGAGAGACCCTGTGTCCCGGCAGCGGCTGTAGAGTAGGGTGGTCCGGTTTGCATCACTTTTTTGAAAAGTCACGGTCTCACCCCCCTATCTGGTGCATTTTGGGGCGCTGATTACGATAAGCACATTAAAAATGCAAATTTCGAATTTTTTTGTAGGCCCCGGTCGATCAAAGATTTTGAAAATTTTGCGAATTCGCACATTTTTTACCATATATCAGAAAAATGAAGAATAAAGTTATTAAAATGATATTTAACAGATGCAGCAAACATATTCCTAGGCGTATGTGCGCAAATTAGTGAGCTAGGGCCAGCCAAATTATTTTTGGACTGAAATTACTGAGGCCATTTCCGTGTTTCCGCTCCCGGCCGCTAGGTGGCGACCGCCAGGGCGGTCGCTACCGGTAGAGGACGGGCCATCGCTCTCATGTGTTTTGACGCACTGCGACGACATTTTGAGTGACAATACTGATATTTACAAACTAATGACACAAGCGGTGTATTATTCTGCCTATTTCAATAGAATTGGGTATGAAATACCCACAAAGGAGTACGCACCACACCCACACAGCCTGGCGATTTTGCCGGCACTAGTCACAACCACTAAACCTTACGCAACGGCATAAAACGAACAAAGCAACAACATGTGATATTTAGCACATCTCGCACAAGGAGATTATGTCCTCTTATCCTGGTGTCCAATGTCCATCTAAGCTAGGTCACAGCGCCCGCGACTATAGCGCCACTTGGAGTCCGACTACTGACTACTGCCCGCGAAAGTGACGCCGAAAGGCTATCTTATTCAAGCTATAGCCGTCCTGGCGCACCGCGCCCGCCACCGCTCCAGAGGACTGGGTGGTAAGCTTGACGGCGCGCTCTGTGGACTGGGTGTGACATGGCACCCTAGTCCGCAGCGGCTCGTCCACCAGTGCCTCCAGGTCGCCGTCACTGAGAAAGCGAACACAAGGTGGCTCTACATCAGCCACTCGAGCGTACATGGTGATGTCGACAAGCTCCGTGTACTGGTGAGCAGACACATTCACCGACGCGCTTTGCACACGGAACTGGCAAACTGGCCCAGGCTGCCGGCGAGCTCGTGCCTCGCGCACCATCTGCACGGCTCGTGCTCTGACGTCACGGCGCTCGTCACCGAGCATACCGAGCACCACGTTCTCAGGATGAGCCATCAACGCATTGCCGCACAAGCTACCCTGAACAGTTTGCAGGTCTGGGCCTCCCATGTGTTGCCTCTGTCCTCATCCTGAGAACGTGGTGCTCGGTATGCTCGGTGACGAGCGCCGTGACGTCAGAGCACGAGCCGTGCAGATGGTGCGCGAGGCACGAGCTCGCCGGCAGCCTGGGCCAGTTCGCCAGTTCCGTGTGCAAAGCGCGTCGGTGAATGTGTCTGCTCACCAGTACACGGAGCTTGTCGACGTCACCATGTACGCTCGAGTGGCTGATGTAGAGCCACCTTGTGTTCGCTTTCTCAGTGACGGCGACCTGGAGGCACTGGTGGACGAGCCGCTGCGGACTAGGGTGCCATGTCACACCCAGTCCACAGAGCGCGCCGTCAAGCTTACCACCCAGTCCTCTGGAGCGGTGGCGGGCGCGGTGCGCCAGGACGGCTATAGCTTGAATAAGATAGCCTTTCGGCGTCACTTTCGCGGGCAGTAGTCAGTAGTCGGACTCCAAGTGGCGCTATAGTCGCGGGCGCTGTGACCTAGCTTAGATGGACATTGGACACCAGGATAAGAGGACATAATCTCCTTGTGCGAGATGTGCTAAATATCACATGTTGTTGCTTTGTTCGTTTTATGCCGTTGCGTAAGGTTTAGTGGTTGTGACTAGTGCCGGCAAAATCGCCAGGCTGTGTGGGTGTGGTGCGTACTCCTTTGTGGGTATTTCATACCCAATTCTATTGAAATAGGCAGAATAATACACCGCTTGTGTCATTAGTTTGTAAATATCAGTATCGTCACTCAAAATGTCGTCGCAGTGCGTCAAAACACATGAGAGCGATGGCCTGTCCTCTACCGGTAGCGACCGCCCTGGCGGTCGCCACCTAGCGGCCGGGAGCGGAAACACGGAAATGGCCTCAGTAATTTCAGTCCAAAAATAATTTGGCTGGCCCTAGCTCACTAATTTGCGCACATAGGGGAGAGCGGGGTCAAATGTAACACGGGGCAATTGTAACAGTGTTAATAATTCATAAACTTACCAATAGAATGAGCTGATGTTCAGACCGAAAATGCGTAATTCTATACTGCCTTTCCCAACGGAGTTTGAAGCGAAAGTGCCGGGTATGTCGATGGCTGTGCACAGTAATGTGTTTTTGAGAGCATTTTGTAGATTTTTATGCCGTTATATTTGATTAGCTCATTCCCGCCATTGAAAAGATATCGACTTCGGACTTTGTGTAAGCGTTGGCAGGCTTGTCGATAAATTGAAAGCATTAAATGCTGCCTACATGCAACATCTTTTTGCGCCAGTTTCGTCTAAAATATGTCAAGGCGCGACGGGGACAATTGTAACATTTTTGCAGGGGTCAAATGTAACAGGTTATAGGTCAGTGGCCATTATGTCAAAGTCGTCAAATTTTCAAGGGAGATGAAACATTGCTAGAATTAAGAGAACTGTGAGTTTTGTCGCAATCGGCAGCTTTTTACGCGATTTATTTGCGAAAAACCAAGGGAGAGGAGGTCCATCCAACCCCTGTATAAGTGCGAGGTTTTATTGCCTTCTTCCTGAGAAGAACCGTCCCTACCAAGTCTGGGAAGATAAACAAGTGTTCAATACTTTTGTTAAATCAAAGTTTTGGAAAAAATTGTGTTGCTGTAGCCTGTAAATGAACATGTTACAATTGCCCCCGGATGGTGTTACTTTTGACCCCGTATCTGGGGCGAATTGTAACAGCTGAATTGACTTTTTCGAACAACAATTTTGACCCCAAAAAGAAGCTATTTCGGAAATGTTTTAACTGCATTTTAAAGACAAAACATCATAGTTTCTGAAAATAAAAGAAAGAGCTTTATAGCTGCAAACGTGTTTGCACCAGATGATAAAATGCAAAAAATGTTACAATTGACCCCGTTCTCCCCTACGCCTAGAATATGTTTGCTGCATCTGTTAAATATCATTTTAATAACTTTATTCTTCATTTTTCTGATATATGGTAAAAATGTGCGAATTCGCAAAATTTTCAAAATCTTTGATCGACCGGGGCCTACAAAAAAATTCGAAATTTGCATTTTTTATGTGCTTATCGTAATCAGCGCCCCAAAATGCACCAGATAGGGGGGTGAGACCGTGACTTTTCAAAAAAGTGATGCAAACCGGACCACCCTACTGTAGAGGGGGCGACATGTTACGTCACACCTCTGTGACGTCACACAGACACACACACGTCACAGTGACGTCACCACAGCCGTCACCAGTGGGCACCGCGTGCCGTCACCAATCGGCGCCATCTTTGACTCAGCCATCACCACCACCGACTCGCTCCTACTCAGGGGGTGACTCGGAGTCAGAGGGACTCGGTTGACTCACCCATCACTCGGCTGACTCCGGATGACTCCCCAGGACACGTGATGAGTCCGTTGACTCCGGGTCACTCTGACGACTCTGTTGACTCCCAATGACTCTTCAGAGCATGTTGGCTCGTATTCGTACTCGTTCACTGGTACTCGTTCGTCACCCGAGGACCATATAAAGTTATCGTTCACATATACACAGTGTATTCAAGATCAGTATAGGCTGCAGTGTCTGACAAGTGTAGGCCACGCCGATCAGAATGGGCAGCTGGCCCTCAGCTCGGCTGCTCGGGTCCGTTCTCACGTCTGTAAGGCCGCCGTCGGACCCGTCGAACACACGCCGCACCGTCGGCTGACCGGCCGAGGCCTCTCTGAGCTGCTGCTGACCGCCGCGGGGCCCGTCCCCTCTCAGCCCTCGTGGTACGGACTGATCACGGGCCGGCGGGCAGGAGACACCCGCACAGCCGGCCAGCCGTGACACATGGGCGGGCGGCGCGGCGCACCGACCGCCGGACACCGAGCGACGGACGGCCTAGCCGGGATATACGTATAAACAGCGTCTTAACCCGCTAACAGAGCTCATTTTCACTCCCAGGACTCTATTATAGACTCTGGATGACTTCGATGTCTCCGAAGGACTCCTCGACACCTATGTTCACTCCCATGAAATCCGTTGACTCTGGATGACTCCCCATGACTCTGTATGACTCAGTAGACTCGTCGTGAGTCAATGTCGGTACGGGCCGGAGCTGTAACAGACAACAAACACAACGGAGTCACAACAAACACACAACAAACACCATAGATGATATGTGTGACACACACACTACACAGCAAACGGAGTCGCCATAAATAACAAACAACATCGGGGCGACAAACAACACAGCCTGGTTTATCGTCAATATATATTGCACCACGGTCCACTGTGCACTGTCCATGACTTATCACTGTACCAGCCATCCGACAATGTGTGTAGTAGACACCACCAGAAGAGGGGGACCCACCTGTGAGGTCTGGGTAGAGCAACAGGAGCAGCGGGCAGAGGAGGGGAGCACAGAGCCGCAGACAGAGCACGTCAGCGACACTAGCGCCGCCTACCAGTCTGGTCCGGAACCTGTGGTTGCCGAGTACACCGCATGGAGAGGAGAATGGGACGAGAGGTTAGTGACCTCCTGAATACCACCCCCACTGGCGGATACAGTCGCCACCGTGACCAAGATGATGCTGTCGGAGAACCCGTGCGTCCTCTTGACACTGCAGCAGAGCCGACACCTGACCACGTCGTCATTAGAAGCGGAAACAGCGGTACAGGTGGCGTCACATGTCAGGTTCCTGTAACACACTCAAATCTGGTGAATACTACAGTGCAATACTTACGTGTGGCTCTGTGTGGCTATTAGCATGACCCGCAATCCGCCACGTGGAGGCTGCCACATCGGACTGCGTCTCTGTTATCGCCCGAGACCCCTCAGGTAGTGCAGAGCCCACCATGTCCTGAGGGAAGACAGGGCGGCCGTACGGCCCCGAGCATCCCATCTCGGTGTGTGCTACTCGTAGACAGACTGCCACTGGGTGACAGACAGCTACCCACCAGACGGCCGACGGCAGTCGGTTGTCGAGAACTCGACTGGCTCCGGACGGCCGGACCAGGTGACCGTGGGGGCTGAAAGGATACCCAGGAGTCAGCTGACACGGCTGTATAACCACTGAGCGCCTGTCCCTGGGCTCTGTTCACCGTTATGGAGAGAGCCGGTCTCACGGGGATCTGGCGACGCTAACAGCGGAAGGAAAACGCGTCATCCCGGGACTGGTAATGCAATAATTATGGGTCTGATGTCATTTGTGAATGCTGCTAACTACAAATCGCCTCGTATCAAGTATATTCACAAACGTTGGAACATAAAAAGGTATGCATCATGCAAAAATCGCCCACCAAACTAACCTGTCTCGGGGGCCTCTGATCCTGTGACGGGCGAGTGTGCGGCAGCTGAAATGCCGGACTGCCGGATTGGCTCCGGCGGTCGACGGCTCAGCTGCGCCAGAGCCGCACACCCGACTCCGTCAACCTGCCGGTGTAGTAAATGGACAAAATATTGATCAAGCTAATTTATGTATGATGTTCCTAGTTTCATGACTAGTCACAATTATTTAGAATGAACGTAAGGTGGACTTTATAAGGCACAAAACTTGAAAGGGACACGGAAAAAGTACACGAGAACGGTACTCGGGAACGGGACACGATAACAGAACAATTTGCAAAAATCAATACGCAGATTCCGCTGGTGAACTCACGCCCGCTGGTGGTGGGCTTGGTCCTGAGGCCGGCGGTGCTGGTGGCGGTGCTGCCAATGCTGGCAGAGAGCCTGAAAAACGATAGATGTATTACCAGAGCCTAGACATTTGACTTTTGTTTAGTGGCAGCTTATTTCTTTGCAAAAAAGTCGCATATGTCAGATCATTGTAGTTCGTCACTTTTTACAAATGTCTTTTATGAATCAAGTTTCTACAGCACGTCTACTCGATACCCTCCTCAATATTCTAAATACGACTGGATACTCGATATGCCGAAGAATAAAGCACATGCCAAACGTCATGCTGAAAGTCATTAACCCGCGAGTTGCTGGGGGGGGGGGGCGTTAAACGCCCCCACTTTTTTTCGCCGGGCCATAGCATAGAAACGGCGCGCCGCAGGCGCGCCAAATTTTGGGTACCTGTAGGGAATTGATTAACCCGCGCCCTGCTGGGGGGGGGGTGTTTGAACACCCCCCCCTGTGGTTTTTCGCGAATATCTCAAAAACGGCGGCGCGGAGCGCCGCCGTTTTTGGTACACCTTATCATACATCAATTCTACACATGTTGTGAAAATTTCAGACCAAGGTCATTCAAGGTCAGGTCACCAGGTCACTCGAAGTGACCTCACCTCATAAAAAGTTTCAATGTCTGTCATAGCTACACCGAGTGACCGATCGCTTTGAAACTTTCAGCGATTGCTAAGAGCATTAGCATGTACAAAATGTATATCTCAGAATTTTGATATCGATGACCTAAGGTCAGGTCAATTTTGCGACCTCACCATTATAAGTCAATGGGAGAAAATTGAAATGCGCCTGTTTTGGACGAAAGACATTATAAACACTCCCAAACACTGAATTACAAGTGGTTTAGACACACTGAACATGAAAATGGTGTCTGTGACCCCTGTTTATGCCCTGAGGTCATCTTAGGTCACGAATGGTATCTAACAGTTTTTCGCAAATAACTTTTGATAGAGGCATGCTAGAGCGATGAAAACGCCTTAGATGTGTTCAGCTCGACGATACGGATCGACTGATATGCAACATGACCCTTTCCGGTCAGGTCATGACCTTGACCTGAGGTCAAATTTTCAAGTTGACCTTTCAAGGTCAAATTATAGTTCGTTCGATGCGTCTTGACGAGAGGAACACGATGCCGGTAAAAGTAAGCTCGTACAATGCTTGGGTCAAAAGTTATTGCAGAAAAACTGTTTCCGAAAAAATCGGCTATTTTTGCAGTTTTTGCCCCCTGCAGGCAAAACCGTTGACGTTAGGTCAAATCTGAGAGAATTACTCAGAAAGGGCGTTAATAGGGCTATCGAATGCGCTTTTCCGCGGCGCTGTAGCTCTATTGGTTCCCGAGTTATGCGTTGGCTTCTTGGAAATTTTCGACATTCAACCTGGAAATCGGCGAAAATTTGCCTTCAATGACCTCTGGTGACCTGACCTTTGACCTGACCAAAAAATTGACCGAAGTGATTTCCTCATTATTTTTGACGCTCTTTCGAACGCCGCCTTCCGCGTATCGCTACGTGGCCCAGGAGCCGAGTTAGAAGGGGGGGTGTTCAAACACCCCCCCCCCAGCAGGGCGTGGAAATCCAGGACCCCCAGCCGGGCGCGGGTTAAAGTTGATTGTGACAATGTTTCAAAAAAAATATGTCGGAAAATTTTTGAGATATCGAGGTTTTAGTGACGTCATAATTTCTGAGTTTTCGACCAAAAACAGCATACCTATGTTCAAAAAATCATATAAAATCACGGAATAGCCTCTTGAGTCCCGCTAATTCGCCCATGAATGGAGAGCAGCGAAACTTTTTTGGCTGAGAGCTTTGGTGCCAATAATGACCAGATTGGTGACATTTCAGCCGTGAAGGTCATCGCGCATGCGCAGTGACATGTATACTGGGATATACAAAAATACTCAAAGCCTATAAAATCTGACTGAAATGCAACCCATGAAAACTTCAATACAAACACCAAAGTGTATTTTTTCGTTTGTTTAGGGCGTAAAATGGCTAATAGTATTGACACGTTTAATTATCAACACCACTCGCCCTTAACCCTCGCCGGACCTATTGGTTTTCTACATACGCGCCGGCCGAGGGGGGGGGGGGGGTACGACCCCCCCCCCTCGCCGTTTCGCCCCTGGTGGAGCTAGCGCGTCGCGGAATAAACGAGCGTGTGCGCCGTTACGAGACGCAGAGATTGGTACCCGATTTTAAGGTCCTAGGTCAACCGGTGACCTCTAAAGTCAGGTCAAGTGCCCCAGGGTACGGTTCAGTTTTTGGTGAATAACTTCGCAAAAAACGGCCGCAGAGCCGCGATTTTGGCAGCATCGTGTTCGCCTTGATCAGGCGCGTCGAATGATATACTTTTTGTCCGGGTCAGGTCAACTTGGGGTGTTGACCTCAGGTCAAGGTCAGGTCAGCACCCCCAGGTCACGAAGTTGGTCGAAAGAGGTCATGTCGCATATCATTCGATTCGGCAGGTCTTCCTGAGTCCATTGGTGGCTTTCCCGACTCGCTAGCTCAATTTGATCGGGAGTTATTGACGAAAAACTAATATGACCTTGATGACGTCATAAATGACGTCACGGAAGGTCAACATTGCAAAAGTGACGCATCTAACCTTGCAAGGAGTGCATCAAATCACGATTCTGTGTGCTTGATATAGTTGGAGATCGTTCCCGGCGCCAGAATAGCAGTTTTCATTTTTCCCCATTGACTTATAATGGTGAGGTCACGAAAATGACCTGACCTCATATGACCTTTAGGAAAAATCCGAGATATACAAGTTGTGAGACTCATAATGGATACTAGATCCTGCAAGTTTCATTTCCCTGTGACATCTCCTCTGGCAGTGAGGGCGTTACGAAGTTGCGACATCTGAAGACCGTGCAGAGGTTCACTTATGACGTCATAGGTCAGTGACCTGACCTGACCCAAAAATGCGGTTGGTGTCAAAAGATGCGGCTTGGATCAAAGGTCAGGTATGCCAAGTTTCAGCTCTCTATCGCCAGCGTGTTCGGAGCTATCGCGAAAAAAAACCCTATGGGGGGGGGGGGGCGGCACCCGCCCCCCCCCCCTCGGCCGGCGAGGGTTAACTTCAGCTTCTTCTGCCCCTTGCCCACTGCTCTTAGGTCTTTAGTTGCCATTTCCTTTGAAGATATAGAACTTGTAGCACCTGTTGCGAATCGATAAACAGTAGAGGAAGACCTTGCAGCATTATCTGAAGCGACATCTCTAAAAAAAATCGCCGTATGGTGTGTTTTAGAGAGGTGCTTGCCTATGTCATTGTGCTTAGGGGTCGGATTCTAATTCATCGGGCGATTTATCCAACTTTGAGTGAGGATCTACGGTCATTGACGTCGCCAACGATTCGAAGAATGTTAACGCTCAACCACAGAGCCATTTGAAGGCATAATGTTGTTTGTGAGCCACAAAAATGGCTTTAACCCGCGCCCCACTGGGGGGGGGGGCTATTTATAGCCCCCCCCCCTCCCGTTTTTCTGCAATAACTTCCAAACCGCTTGACGAATCGACGCCAAACTTTCAGTACCTTCGGCTGCATCAATTTGACACCTTGTGTCAAAATTTGAACTTCGTAGCTACCATAGGTCGGCCGGAAATGACGTCAGAGTGACGTCATGTTCGTCCGATTTCGACGCAAAACATTGAACCACGGCAATCGCTCCCAAGAGCTCAGTTTTTAAGGTAGATCCAATTTCTTTGCATGAAAGGACTCAGAATTGACCGCGCTATCAAACTGCTATCTCGGATTTTCAAAATTTTGAAAATTTCGAAAATTTTATATAATAATATTCAAAATTTATATTTTTATATTTTTTTTCAAAAAAATTTTGACT